GGCATCTATTATTATAATTATGTCTTTTTCCTTCTTACGCCTTTGCGTGTAGTGAATTAACTCGATGTTTGAATGTCGAGCCAGCCTCGCATTATCTTTTTTTACATGTCGCTGGATTGTTTGCTGGTATCTGAGTCTGCTTTTGGTCCACATGTAATTAGGGCACTGACCTGCAGTGATTTCGGCAGCGGGGTCATGCTGGCCTCGCTCACGCGGTGTGGGACGCGCTCCACACAACGAGTTGCAAAGCGTCCTCTCCTCTTCCGGAAGAGATTGTGTGGAGTCGATATTATCCTTCCTTACATATTTGGCAGAATTTGCCAATGAAACCATTTTTTCAGAAGATTGTTGTCTTGCCTTCCGTAAGCAGTGGTCCCAAGGTCACTTCCAACTGTCAAGCCTCGGTGATGCTGCCTGGATCCGTGCTGCACATCGTCTCTCAGGGGTGGGTCTGGGCTTGGTGGTTCCATTCTCAGAGGCTTTATTATTACGCGTCTTGGGTCGCTTCTGTGTAGGCGCAGCTGGGCGCGAGCCCAGAATGTGTGCAGGTTCTTAGACAGCATGGCGGATCTCCTTCACGAGCTTTCCCCACACCCCGGGACACTCTTGGCTCCCAAGGGCCTTCTTGGCTGACCCTCTGGCTGGAAATTCAGTGTTTCCGTCAACTTGATCCTCCCGTGCTGCCGAATGCCCGCCGGGCAAAGCAAGAGAGAAGAGGAAAAGAAAAGGCAGAAGATGCTCTTACTCACATTCCCCTGACCACGGGGCCCTTTGTGCAGCTCCTCAGTCCCTGAGTCCCGAGAGGAGGGTTTTCTCTTGCATTTTAGGTCCCCGTGTCCCTCCACCACCATCACTGCTGTAGAAATGCAGCCCAGCAACTGAGGCTGGCCCCGGGGTGGGGCCGGGGAGACAAGAGAGAAACGAGAAAGAAATGGGGTGCTCCCTCCAAAGTCTTCAGCTCCAGGAACCCCTCTTCTCGATCCACTGCCTAGAAAGAGGGGGTTCCTCCTGGGGCTTGCACTGCGGCAGCTGGGCGATGAGAAGGCAGGACTGCAGTGAGCTGGCCGGGCCCTCTGCCCTCAGGGTTCCTCCCGCCTGCCACCCACCTGCTCCCGCCTGCCTTGCAGGTTCTCAGGAGCTCGATGTGTGTATTGTCATAGCTCCTAGGTGTGCCCTGTGATGGGCTTACTCAGTCTTAGCGGCACAAGAAGACTTGTCATTGTATTTTAACTTTTGCATAAGGATCCCATGGGTCTGGGGCTGGAATCCTGTTTAG